TTTTTTTTTTTTTTTTTTTTTTTTTTTTTTTTTTTTTTTTTTTTTTTCATTTTTTTATTTCTTTTTTTATTTTCCTTAGCTTGTTACGTTTTTATTCCCCTCCTTAGTTACGTAGTTTCTTTTCATCGGTTTTCATATCATAATTATGTCTTATACATCATGTACTACTATTATTGCTTGTATACGATACGTATAAGTTTGCTGGTTAATAAGTTATGGAATAAATACGAAATCATGTTTTTTTTTTTTTTTTTTTTTTTTTTCAACTTACACGTGTACATACTATTAGTTAATAATGGAGAAACAATTAAATAAATTATTTATGTATGCCAATTCTAATAAACAATCGCTAACTAAATGTTTACACAGGCGTGCTCAAGCCACAACATATCGCAAACTTGGCTACAAGTTGAAATTTTAGACTGAATTCAATTTGAAAGAATTAAATGCACTTATTATAATTCTCTTTATTTATTTATGAAACTCTGAAAGGCAATTCTCTATGTCTTTTTGTTTTTCATTTGGATAGACTTGGATTTGCTCGATTTGCCTCAATTATGTTCGCATTTATTGCAAGTGTATCGCGAGAATTAATTTTAACGCGCGATATTTTCCCATTTATTTATAATAGTGTCCAAACTTTTACTCGAACGACAAATCTGGCGTACAATCCGCCAGAGCTTAAATATGCATTTCTTTAAATTGTTCTTTTTTTTTTTTTTTAAAGTCAAGTGATTATGCAAAATTTTTAAAACCCATAGATAGATGACTAAAGTGAGAATAGTGGATTTTAATTTATGCGTGAATATCTCATGACACAAGAAATGCATATATGATATGCGTACGATACGATATATGGTGCAGACATTAAGTCTACGGGTTCGCTGGATTCAAATCTCAGTTGCGGAAGAGTTTGCTTTAGTCTTAGTACTTATAGTCAGTGGTTAGTCGATAAAGGCCTATTGGGCAGACACTTTCTTTCTTCACTTCCACTGCGACGATTAAGTGACATCCATCCCCTAAGTGATTGCTTATATAATAAAAAAAAAAAAAAAATCTCGCAAATATTGTTAGTAATTTTAACCCAAATGATGGACCCCTATCGCCGTTTGTATGTTTTTATTGGGAATGGGGGAGGGGGGAAACAATATTTGATCGGAAATAATTAGATTTCTTGATTAGATCTCTTGTTCAAGCGTAAAGAATAAAATTACTCTACTCTACTTTCTCTCTTTCGATTAATTAATTAAATAATTATTTTATTTATTTAATTGTTTTTTTGCTTTCATCTAATTTTAGCCAAATCGCACTTATTACTTAGATGATCCTGAAGGTTACTCTTTGGAATGGGTGGCAGCTATTGATAAAATGCACTCGCTTACTTATAAAGAGAAAAATAATATAATTACAGCAATGACGACGACGTCAACGTCAGTTAAGGACGAAACTTCTGCCTCAAAAATTCTAAATAATACAAAAAATAGTATAACAATAACAACAACAACAACAATGCCAATAACAAAAACATCATCTGCCATTTCAACAACAACGCTGCATAAAACTTCATCGCTATTGGCAACACCGTTTACCATCATGAAGACAGCATCTAACTAAAAAGTAAAAAAAAAGGAAAGAAATATGAAAAAAAAAAATATAAATAAATATAAAAGAAATTAACACCGAGTCGGCAACAAGCACGCAACACTCAATGGAAACGATATGAAAAAAATCAACATTGTTGTTGTGTCAAAAAGGTGATAATGAGAATGAAATAAATCAGAAATTTATAAAAACTATATAAAATAATAATAATGATAATGATAATAGCAACAATCAGGATACAATTGAATGAATGCGAATGAAAGGAAAAGGGGCACTTAGTGGAAGAAGCAAAGAGAAGCAGAAGAGAATACATGAACAGAGGAAAATGGAAAACCAACAAAACCTTAAACCTATATATATATATATATATATATATATATATATATATGAATAAATGCATAGTAAATATTTAAAAATACTTTATATCTCAACTAAAAGAGAAAACAAATATTTTTAAATGTAAGAAAACAAACAAAAAAAAAAAAAAAACAAAAAAAAAATGTAAGACGAATAAGATGAAGGAGAAGTTAAAGGAGAGAAGAGAAAAAACAAAAAATAGAACAAATTTAGTTCAAAATTCACAAAATATAAAAGAATAACTAGACTAATTAATAATAATGAAAGAAAATTTAATTATAAAATTAATTTATTCACATTTTTTAAGAAATAAATTAAATAAATTTTCTGTGTAGTTAGATGGATTTATAATATATATAAATAAATTAAATTATAATCTAAAATAAATTAAATTGAAAACTGATAAACATACAAAGGTATATTTATACATATGTATATATATATATATATATAGAATAAATAAATATATATATATATATATATATATATATATATATAATATGTATATTATTTAGAACATTATAGAAACATTAATTAAAAATTTTATCTTAAAAATATTTAATTTGAAACGAATGAACGCAAAAAAAGGCCCAATTAACGATCCTCTGTTGTCTGCCACGTTTTATTTCGCGTTCTTTCGTTTCATTATTTTCATTTAATTTTACAAAATGGTTTCTCTTTAGTCACTCCCGTAATTGCTTTTTTCAATTCAATTGCGTTTTTTTTTTTATGTATATATATATATATATAACGGAGCTATTTTCGTCATCCATGTTCTATGAGGTCAACTACATTCTATATAACGTTACTTTTCAAAGTTCGAGCTCATTTCCATTAGTTCAGGATATATGCAACAATAACTGCTTTCTGCTATATTTAGTTTCTTCAATAAAATTGATATCTGTTATATTAGCTAGCATAGGGTTGCTACCTTTTCATGATTCGTCCATTTTCGATTCTCGATTCGCCTTCTTTTGGTCCGAATCTCCTATTCTTCTTCTCATATCCAAGAGAGTGATTTTTTTTTAAAAGACTGGTAATATTTTCCGCTTTTTCATTTTCAATTTCTTGAATTGGAAACAATTCTGTCTCTGTCTCTGTCTCTCTCTCCCTATCTCTCTCAGTTATCCTTTCTTCTTCCTCCAAGTTTATTAAGTGCTCCTCTTTTATTTTCTTTTAAGATAGTTAAAATTTCTTAATTCCTTTTTTTTTTTCTGCTGTTTGCTTTTTCACCTATTCTTGGCTGAATGCTTGCAATTTTATCTGATTCCCGTTTAGCTTAGCAGAATTATTTTGAGCTTTTTTTTGCTTTTTTCTTTATTAGATTTCACTTTTCATATTTTTCTTGCTGCACTTTTATTGAGTGTAGGCGTCGTCATAACCTCTGATGATTCCCAACCGACTGGCATATGTATGCTTGAAGACGAGTCAATGTTGAGGCTATATATATGTATGTATATGCAGTTGGCTATATTTAAACTATTTAATAAAACAAAGAGAAATATATAGAATGAAAAACAAAAGAAAGGAATAAAAGAAAAGTTAGAAATAATTTAGTAAAAAGCTATTAGTAAAACATATATTCATAAACAAAAAGAAAAGAAAAAAAAAGTAAAACTACAAACAACCAACCTAAACAAAAGCCTTTGTAAAAAAGCTATCAAAGCCCTTATTTATTTTATATTTATATAATTATTGTAGGTTTAAAGTATAATTGAAGAGAAACAAAAACAAAAAAAACGAACTTTCACACTTACAATTAAAATATTAATTTAATTTAGTTAAAAAAAATTTTTTTAAAACAAAACTGAATATTTCTCCTTTTTCTTTTTTTCCGTGTTTTTTTTTTTTTTTTTTTTTTTTTTTTTTTT